GCAACTAGCAGATCTAATAAAAGATGTGCTATCCGTTGGCGTTAATGCTGTTATAGCAGTTATACTGACAAAAGCCAATTCGGCAGATTCGCAAAATCCGCACTTTTAGATCAGGTGGAGAAATTGGAAATTTGTTTATCGCGTGGCAAGTCACAGGCCTCGCGGAATTCTCGTCGCAAAAACCGTTCAAGATCACAATCGGAGAGCAAGCCTTGCTGGTATCATGTTTATACGTTTTATATACGTTTTGGCGAAAAAGCTACCAAATATACGCAATATTTGGCCCTGCAGCTGAAAATTAACGAAACAGGAACTAAAGGCTGAATTATCCCCGGCAGTAGATAATTTGGCCGTCTCATAGTCAGAGACCGTTCAACGAATTTTCGGTGAACTGAAGCGGATGTCTCGATCATTCCTGTCTCAAGATGCGATCATCGTATTTACATTAACGATCGGGTACTCAACACTGCAAATGGAACAATCATCCTTACATATGGACAAAAATTACTCCAGCTTGATTTGGGATTCCGTCGAGTTTTTCAATGGCCTTTCATATTCGCCGATATGGATACCTTTATTAGGTGTACAACTTTACTTCCGCCGTTTTCCTATAGATGGCTTTAATGGTAAGTGGTGGTCGAAATAAATAGATCATAGACGTCATACAATAAACTTAGGCATCTGTCAACATAACCCCATAGAAACATTAGTCGATTTGTGTCTGCAAAGTTATTCTCGATTGAAAATGTCAGTTTACGAGCCAAATTCTCGTCATTTGCGAGAGGTTTTAATTTTTTGCTTCAATATGAAGAAATCTGCGGCTGAGGCTCATCGAATGCTCTCAAATACTTATGGTGAGGCCGCTATTAGTGAAAGAACGTGTCGAGTGGTTTCAACACTTCAAGAATGGTGATTTTAACATCGAAGACCGGCATAGCGGTGGAAGAGAGAAGGTTTTCGAAGATGCAGAATTGGAGGCATTACTTGAGCAAGATCGTGTCAAAATCAAGAAGAATTGGCACGATCATTAGGAGTGACTCAACAAGCCTTTCAAAACGCCTCAAAGCCATGGGAATGATTCAGAAGCAAGGAAATTGGGTGCCGTACGAATTGAAGCCGAGAGATGTTGAACGGCGTTTGTTTGCTTGTGAACAGCTGCTTGAAAGGCAAAGACGGAAGGGATTTCTGCATCGCATTGTGACTGGGGGACGAAAAATGGGTTCATTACGATAATCCCAAGCGCAGAAAATCATGGGGAGTTCCCGGCCATGCTTCCACGTCGACGGCCAAACCGAATATTCACGGCTCCAAGATCATGCTCTGTATTTGGTGGGACCAGCTCGGCGTAATGTATTATGAACTGTTAAAACCGACTGAAACAATCACAGGCGATCGGTATCGAACGCAATTAATGCGTTTGAGCCGAGCATTGAAAGACGGCCGCAATACAACGAGAGACACGATAAAGTGATTTTGTAGCATGACAATGCTCGACCCCATGTTGCGAAAGTGGTCAAGACATACTTGGAAACGTTGAAATGGGAAGTCCTACCCATCCTCCCCACCCGCCGTATTCTCCAGACGTATGCTCCCTCTAACTATCACTTGTTTCGATCATGGCACACGGCCTGGCTGATCAGCACTTCCGGTCTTATGAAGAAGTAAAAAATTGGATCGATTCGTGGATAGCCTCAAAAGATGACCAGTTTTTTCGACGCAGAATTCGTATGCTACCCGAAAGATGGGAGAAAGTAGTGGCCAGCGATGGACAATATTTCGAATCATAAATGTATAATCAGTTTTTTACAATAAAGCCTCGAATTTCGGAAAAAAAACGGCGGAAGCAAAGTGGTACACCTAATATTATTGGATTTTCTAGCACAACTTGCTGCCTGATATACGGCATAAGCATTTGATCGACGGTAACACGTTTCTTAAAGTCTCTGCTCAGTTTGTCAACAAAGCTAGTCCTCGTTTATAGCGTTGGCCGACGTTGGCTGCCCATAAAAGAGATCCTAAGCAAGTTTCCTGAAATAACTAAGATATCGATCGCGCATAAACAAATCGCACACGGGGTAGAACATGTAATCGAAACAACGGGTCCTCCCCGTGTCAATCAAAGCCAGATGATTCTGTCCAGAAAAATTCAAAGCAGCTAAACAAAAGTTTGAGTACATGATGCAACGAGGCTTATGTAGACTTTCTAATAGCCTTTGGGCTAGTCCTTTACATCTCGTGCAGAAGAAAAATAGCGATTTGTGTCCGTATGAAGATTACTGCAAACTCAATGAGGTAACCTTGCCAGATCGTTACTCAATTCTTGCAGTAGATCTAGTACATGCATATCAACAGATTCCAGTCCGCGAATCGGATATTCTAAAAATCGTAATCACCGTTCGGACTTTTCGAATTTCCTTATATGACATTCGGACTTCGCAACACAAACTTTTCAAAGATTTATGGACCAGATAACTGCAGGACTTGACTTCTTATATTTATGATATTTTAATCGCTTCATAGGACGAAACGCAGCATAAGGAGCATCTAAAAATACTGTTCGACAAACTTTAACAGCATAGCAATCAATCCGAATAAATGCGGACAGAAAATTGTTAATTTTCTGAGACATATAATCAGCGCTGAAGATATCAAATCTTTACCCAAAAAAATCCAAACTATCGCTGAATTTCAGGAATCAGCTATAATCAAAGGATTTCGATGTTTCTTGGGAATGCTCAATTTCTATAACCGGTTTCTCAAAAATCTCGCAAGCATGCAAGCATCATTGCTAAATGCAATCTCGAGGCGTAAATGCAACAACAATGCGAAAATAGAATGGACTTCTGAGCTCAAACAATCCTTTCAATGAGTTAAGGAACATCTTACTCAAGCCATCTCGCTCGTATTTCCAGACAGCAAGGCAACACTTGCGTTGCAAACAGACGTCTCAAACAAAGTAATCGGTGCGGTATTGCTATTGCACAGCAACGGATTTTTACAACTACTCAGTTTCTTTTCAAAGAAATTCACGCCTACGCAAACAAAGTATAGCCCATATAGAAAATTATTAGCTATCTATACGGCTATCAAACATTTCCGATATATGTTAGAGAGACGAAACTTTCACATTATTATCATAAACCTTTATACGAGAAAATCGAATCAAATGTCGCCAAATCAATCTTCATTTCGGAATTCATAACCGATGTACGTCACATTTCAAATGCTGAAAACATTGTAGCAGATGCATTATCTCGTGTCGACACTATCGTGATACCGATAGTCTCGATATACAAGAGATTGCAGAAGCTCAGACGACGAATTGCAACTGAAACAACTACATCAACTCTCTTTGAAGCTTAAAAAGTTTACCTTATCGAAAACAGCATCTAACATTTACTATGATACTTCAAAAAAAATCAAACCATACATTTCTGGATCATTACGAAGATGAGTTTTTGACATGGTGCATCAATAGTATTACTCGGACTAAGAACTTATTTCAAAAAGGATCTAGGCACTTTTGTAGCGGAATTAGTTTTCGGCACTATGCTCAAAGTACCGGGTGAGTTTTTTCCTCTGAAGAAATGCCGAGCAACTCACGAATTTTCGTTAAGGATTTCCGCGTAATTATGCAAAAGTTATGGCCTCTCATCATATTAGACCTAAGTTATTTTTCCGTACAGATTTTTACTGCTTATTATTATAACTGCTCAATGTCTCATTCAAGCAGCAGAGCAACTCACCGGCAAATCGCGCAAAAATTTGTGTGGTCCTCCATGGCTGAAGACATTAAAGAGTGTGTTCGCACTTGTCTAGCATGCCAGCAATCTAAAATTTATCGACATAACCATACCTCGTCTACCAAAATACCAGTATCAGATACTCGAGCACGTACATATCGATATCGTCGGTCCTCTACCTCCATCTAAAAGTTTCAGGTATTTATTAATGATTGACCGATTTACTCGTTGGCCGGAAGCTATTACAGAATTGTACTGCAAACACATTGGCAAAGATATTTTTCACTCACTGAGTAGCCAGATTTGGAGCTCCACGCCTGATCACAACTGATCAGGACTCGCAATTCGAAACGCAGTTGTTCAACGCATTAACCAAAATCGTCGTTTCTAAACGTTGTCGGACAACTGCATACCATTTAAAATCTAATGGCATCATCAAACAATGGCATCGCTCTTTAAAAACTACATTAATGTGCCACGGTGAAACTGAATCTGATATACTACCAATAATATTACTCGGACTAAGAACTTATTTCAAAAAGGATCTAGGCACTTTTGTAGCGGAATTAGTTTTCGGCACTATGCTCAAAATACCGGGTGAGTTTTTTCTTCTGAAAAAATGCCGAGCAACTCACGAATTTTTGTTGAGGATTTCCGCATAATTATGCAAAAGTTATGGCCTCTCATCATATTAGACCTAAGTTATTTTTCCGTACAGATTTTTACTGCTTATTATTATAACTGCTCACGTCTTCCTCAAAGTAGAAAGTAACAGGCATTCCCTGGACCAATCATACACCGGACCGCATAAAGCATTAGAGCACATTTCGGACAAAATACTATAGATGCTATAGAAGTCGACGGCAGATGTATCAATGCCACTGTCAATAGACTTAAGCCCGCTTATTTAACAATTTAAGACTCAGAAACTACTCTGTTTACTGCGTCTCCGTTTTCAACTTTGGTTAACATTCAAGTGCAATGTAAACTAAAGATATATTCTGGTTCAGCAACCAAGCGAAAGACTGTTAGATCTAAGGATTAATTCGTGCAATATTACATTAAGCGATCAATAAGCATAAATTTTTGTTTCTTTCATTTAATTTTATTTTCTGTTTCATTCTAGTGATAATTTATTTCTTTCCTTAATAACGTTTACACTGGGAGGAGAGTACTGTGGCGTTGCAAGTATTAGTTGCAGCGCTCGAATCAATCCTTTCTCTCTCTCTCTCTCTCTCTCTCTCTCTCTCTCTCTCTCTTTCTCTCTGGTGTCATGGCGTTCTGCGACTTTTCGTAAGCTTCAGCGATAGATTTTAAGTTAGTGCTCGATAAGATTAATCATCCCTTTATGTTATTGCGAAATCGACATCGGTTACTGCTCATGTCATTAGATAATTGCTCGCGTCAAATAAATGCTTATATTGTAGATTTTCTTAATTTCTCATATTCTAACCTAGTAATGCGATACCGATATCTGAGCCGTCATACGCACGCAAACTCTACTTTTGTAATCTGTTCTAAACAGTTAATGTTAGTCAGTCCCGTCCCGAAGACGGGGCAAACATGCCTCATCCACAAAGGTATATGCGACAGACTACCATCCATCATCCAACGAAACTGTATCGAGAAGGGCGATGGAAAAATCCAGCAGCGCCTACAGGGCGTTTCTGCAGGAATGAGCAGTTACGCCGCAATATGCCTCCTCAAGGCTTCTCGCGCCCACGAGGAGGCCTACTCATTTGCGTCTTTAGATGCACGCTCTGAAAGGATAAGAATAGGGATTAGGATTAGAATTGGATATTGGCTTGCTCATAATGAGATAATCAAGTAATTAGATTGCCTCCTGCCTTATCGGAGCAAGTCAGCTCTAGGTGGGGCGCCGGCAAATTCGAACTCTAACTAGATTACGAGTCGAACGCACAAGGCATCTGGCCACTGTTGTCATGTATGTTCTAAACATTTGAGTTTGTATTAAACCGCCTTATGGCATATGAATCAGAATCAGAATGAATCAAAATGAATAACATTTATTTGTAAACTTAGCGATTTCCCGCCAATTGTCCTTCGCCGTTAGTCATCGCCGGCACATTGAGCATAGCAGCCACAACGTAGCCACATAGGCCGGTATTCATAGTTAGATCTTATATTCAAACCGTCTTAAATACGATCTTAAGAACCAGAAAGCTGCATTAACGTCTTAAGACATTACTTATGACGGTCTTGAAATAAGACTCGACTATGAATACCGGCCATAGTTACGTCATAGTACACCGCCACCTCGTGGTAATACAGTAACAGTATGATAACGTATTTTGTACGGGTATCATGGGATATCGCACGTTTGGTTATCTGGGGTAATATTTTACTATTGAAAATTTTATCACCCATCAGTGATAAAATCTTCAGTAAAATATTATTGGTAAAATTCCATTGAAAACATCTGGATTATATAAATGAGTAGCTTTTAATGCGAATGATATTCCTATTGACAATAATCCAATGGCAAAATATTATCCCACTGACCGAATGATATTCCTATTGATGCGTATCCAATAGTAACTAATATACCGTTAGTCGAATGATATTCTTATTGGATTACATCCAATGATAAAATATTTTATCACTGACCGAATGATTTTCTTATTGAACGCTTCAAGTAGTAAAATCATTCGATAATGATAATGCCGTATAATTTTATCAGCTCAAATGATTTTACTATTGATCTGAATAATAATCTGAATAAAAATTGACACTTTTTGCGACGGGATGGGTTCGTGCTTAAGTGTGTGGGTACCGGTTTCGCCAGATGCAGTTTGATTCTGTGTCGCCACTGTTAACAGAGTTGGCTAAGTAGTCAGGAACCTTCTGAATAATCTCCGACAAATTTTATTTGGCGGACACTTTTCATTAACAAGTTATTAACAAAAAAAAGTTGGCAATTTAAATGTGCATTTAACTGTATAACTTAAATTATAATTATAATAAGTAACCCATGTGCAACAGTATAATTATAGAAGTTGTGTATCCCTTTACAAAGAGAAAGTAGGATGAGAGTCGCTTCGCGTGGAAAATCAAAATCCATATGCAACAGTACAATTATGGAAATTGTGCGCCCCTTTGCAGCAGAGGAGATAGAGTGAAAGTCAGTTCGCGTGGAAGTCGTGCGCTCCCAAGTAGGGGGAGGAAAGGGGGAGGGGGGGTGAGAGTTGCTTCGTATAGAAGTCATGCGTCCCTAAACAGTTAGTGCGAATTCCAATCCGTTTACAGCATGATTAATAATAAGAAGATACATACACTACGTTAAGTCCATGTGCCGTGTATACTTGCGCATGCATGTATGTCTATGTATCTATACTCTCTTCATGGTAGTAACCGTACTGCAAGCGAGTTGAAATTCGCATCACTGCCCCTAAGCAGAGAAGAAAATGGAATGAGAATTGGTATGCGTGAAAGTCATGCGCCCCCAAACAGGAGGGAAGGTGGGGTGAAAGTCGCTTCGCGTGGAAGTCGTGCGCTCTCAAGCAGGGGGGAGGTGAGGTGAAAGTCGCTACTATGAAAGTCGTGCGCCTCCAATTTCATTTTAGATCTGAAAGAATATATTATTAATACATTAATAGCAGCGAGTGCTCCACTGTTGAGTCCGCTGAAGTAGCCGTAGAGAGATAAAAGATCTAGAATACTAGTTTGATGTATAGCAACATGTAGGCGTAAGACAAAGGAGAGTCTCATGAGGACTGAAAATGCCTCTAGACTACCATAGGATGATGTATCATCCTATGTCCTAACTCCTATGTAAACCTACATGTTTCTATAGATCTTTAGAGTGAGACATCTCTTCCGCATTCCTATAAGTATCTATATCAACTTGAGAGAATAATTCGTAACTTCCAAAAACTGGATAGTTAATAAACGAGATTTCATGTCGGATGAAAAAAATCCTGACTGCCTTAAGGAAAATATATACTCATGACTTTTTTTAATCACCAAAACATCTTGTTTATCACGTGACTTTCAATTTTTGAAGATATGGAAAAATTATCTTAGATTTTCACGTGAAATTACATCAATCGGTTATAGCATTTTGTATACACACTCTATGTATAGTAGAAACTATATAGGGTATCTCAGAATATTTGTGATTATTTTGGGACTATACAGGATGTCTCAAAATATTTGGAACTATTTTTATGCAGATAGAGCGGATTAAACTGAACCGGAAGGTCTTCTATCATTTTACAATTTTCGCAATTATTATCCAATGAGCAGAATGTCTAAAATCGACGCATGAGACAACTTTAAGATATCTTTAAAATCTGTTCTACAATATGCTTTTTGTTTCCTGTTTCTTGTGTTTTATCTTTTGTTTTTAATTCCTTTGTAATTCCCGTTATCAACCGTATTTTTTGCTATGTATATTTTTTGATTCTTTCGAAATTAACTCATTAACTCTTATTTCAGACGACGTAAAAACCGAGAAGCAAAAAGACAAGATGTAAAATAGCAAAAAGCAAGAAACTGGAAACAAAAAGCACATTGTAGAATAGGCTTAAGAATTCTTTGAAAAAACATTTTTAAAATATGTCATAAAGAAACTCTGAAAAATATCTTAAAGTTGTCTTATGCATCGATTTTTTTACTCGCTTATTCGGCAATTTTTAGAAACTAACTATTGTGAAAATTACAAAATGATACAGGACTTTTCGACTCAGTTTGATCTACTTTATCTGCATCTGAAAATAGTTCCAAATACGAGACATTCTGTTTAGATTCGATTGCATCAACATGCACATTCTTTTTTCCATGCGATCCTATAGGAACCTTTTTTCATGAACTGATGCCATAGATTTCTACGTAAAAGTACTTATAGAAAAGTTTCCTATGTTATCCTACATATACGTGCTGCGTAAATCCTATAGATACCTATTGTAAAAAATTTAGAGGAAATAGGCACAACAGAGAAGCTATTAGCGTCAGAGCTGAACGAAAATTTATCAACTCGGAGGAGAGACCAGGCCTGAGTTCGAGACGAGGAGCACCCCGATATTTTTCTTTGTGTCATCAATTGTTTACATTACACAAGCTCCTACAGGGGGGGATAATGAAAGGAATAAGGAACAGGGAATAAGAATTTCACCTATCAGAAATTATGTATTCCACATACACATGATTTTTGATATTCTTGATATTCTTGATATTCTTTTCATTATGTGCAACCTCTTATATAGTCCTCTATAGGAACCCATGAAAAAACCCATGGGAATTTATAGCAAGATAGAAGTCTCCTTCCATGGAGACCTATCGAATTTACTATGGATACGGTTAGGCAAATCCAGGAAAATTCCCTATAGGAATTTGCAGCAGGAACTGTACATGTATAGCAGAAGTAAAACGTTATTTAAAAAATTTTTTTTGTTAACTTTTTAACGAAAAGTGTTAAATAAAATCTATCGAAGGTCACTCAGGGTCATGATCTTGATAACATATATCATGGTCATTTCCATTATTGTCAAATATTATTGTCAAATATTATTGTCAAATATCGAAAAAAATATATTAACATTATATTTTTGAATACACTTTACTATATTTGAAATATAATTGATTGTTTAATAACAACAATATAATGCATATCTGTTCATATTATTGTCAAATATTAGCATATTATAAAAAACATGTATAAATGAATATTAAAACAAGTGTTCAGAAAAATAAATACGAATTGTTACAAAAAATACAAATAAATATTTATAAATTATGTTTCTCAAATCTATAGTATATGTTAATGTTTAGTACATATCAATAGATACATGCAGCAGGCAAATACGGTTTGTTTCCAAATTTGATTTAACATTGACTTAACGTATTCTAACAGTTTATGGAAGTATCAATTTATGATTCTTATTCGTCTTACATTAAGTAAGTACATCAATATTAATTATAGAATTTCAAATAAAATCTATACATTTTTCTTTTTTTACATGTGATGAAATAATTTAGATATTAACAAAAAAATTTAGTCTTTTTAACTTCTTTAAAATAGAAATCATTTAATTTTTAATATTTCTGAAATTGATATAGTACACATAACAAAATATTTCAGAATTTTGATATTTAATTTTGCAAATATCTTATACAGATATATAAAGATTTATAAAGATATTGCATATATATATATCTTTATAAATTATACAGGGTGTCTCTTAAGAAGGATCACATTGGAGGTAGAGAATGGATCAAAGGGAACAAAAAATTCTTATACTATTTTGAGATATTCGCTGTAGTTTTCGAATTAGAAAAGGAAACAGCTAAGCCAATATGCGGTTAAACTGCGCGCGAATTCGTAGAACGGCCTACACTCGAGCGGCGGTAGCGGTGCAGGGAGGGGAAAGGAGTGCTTCATCGCCTGGCACAGCATGACGGTCCTATGTGTTTCGCCGCATGGCGCCTACATTATCCAAAAATCTTATTTTCGCTGAAGTTTTCCTTACACATTTCTTATCATTATAAATTACGTTATTTAGCACGTTAAATATATTTTAACATAATTATAAATATGTTAAGCGATGTAATTAATTAGAGCACTACGCAAAGCATATGCTGATCGTCGCGATACCTTTCCGCTTGTTTTATTATACGATGTTTCTATTTAATTACGCTTCGAGACACACTTCGTCAGAACTATCGCGTTGTTTATATTTTGCCGGAATTTTATTTTTTGATGTGTTAATGCGTGTACACTTGAAATTATAGTTTAAGCTCGCATAGATAGCCGCTATATTGGAAATCCATATTAGGGGCTCCGTACAATAAAAAGAACAGGGAACAGAGAATAAAGAGTAAGAATTTCAACCTCAAAAATCATTGTATTGTGGAATACAGTTTCTGATAGGTTGAAAGTCTTATTCTCTGTTTTTTGTTTCTTGTTCCTTTTATTGTGCGGAGTCCCTTATTTTTCCATGTATAATGACGCATTTGACTGAGAGTCTTTTTCACATATTTCTTG